GCTGAAATGATAAAAACCCATATTAGGGTGTTGTCTAATAAAGATAAATAAATTAGATGTTGTAAATTACAATAATTATGCCAATATTACATGTCTGTGGTTTTATTTCAAAATTAGTAAGTTGAATAAAAAGGTATAAAAAGTTTTAAAAGTTTAAACAGACAAGGTAAGGCCCACAAATTGTTATACAATAGTCTATTAGATTGTAATAAATTAATAAATGAGCAAATAAATAAATATTGCTTACATGCCGGTACTCTATTAATTGATGGATGGTAGAACATGGTTGAAACTACTATGTATTGTTAAATGGAGAATTCAATTCTGCTATTGTAGTTGTTTGACAGTAAAAGGGAAGATCTTGAGGAGATAGATTTGATCCAATGAAGCAGAGATATGTGTGTGATTGTTTGTTAAAAGAAAGTGAAAGTTAAATTAAATTGATTGTGAGTAAGTCTTATTTATTATTTCTTTACCTATTTGAAATGGACTCACACAAGCAACACATTCATGATTTTAATTACAATTATTTTAAACAAAACTTTAACCTAAATATGTATATACAACATTCTTAACTACTCTGAAGGACGTGGTGGACAATATTTCTCCATTCGCTTCTATTTTGTTCTTTTATTTTCCAGTCCCTCACCTTCACATGTTTAAGGTCTTCTTCCACTTCTAATCCATTTCGTTCTGGGTCTACCTATTCTTTTGGGGCCGATTAGTTTTCTGGTTATTAATAGTTTGGGCATTCTGTTTGCTGGCATTTTTTCCACATGTCCCAAGCATCTGATTCTTTGGCCTTGACGAATTTGGTAATGGTAGGTTCTTTGAAACGCATAGCGGAACTAAAATAGAACTGGGCAGGCCATGTTGCGAGATTGCACGATTCACGATGGACGAGCAAAATTACAAATTGGAGACCAAGAGCAGACAAACGCAGTAGAGGAAGACCACCTACACGTTGGGCCGACGACATCAGGCGTATCACTAAAAATTGGCAACAAAGAGCACAAAATCGTAAGGAATGGAGGAGTTTAAGGGAGGCCTATGTCCAGCAGTTGACGTGATAAATAGAGGCTGGATGATGATAATGAGGTTCTTGGTATAAAGCCATTAATATATTGTTGGTTCTTCTCTTTCAACCATCTTCTGTCTTCCGTCCTCCAAATATGCGTCTCAGTATTTTCCTTTCGCATCTTTCCAGAGTATCCTCTTCCTTCTTATTTAATATCCATGTCTCACCGGCATATGTTACTGTGGGTCGAATTACTGTTTTATATTTTCTGAGTTTACCTTGTCTAGAAACGTATTTTGAGTTCAGTAGGGATCTTAAACTACCTAATTTTTTATTCCCTTTTGTTATTCTGGCTTCGAGTTCCCATTTCTCTTCTCCATTTTCATCGAAAACTACACTCAAGTATTTAAATTTGTCCACCCTTTTAAAACTATAGCTTTTACCACTTACAGACCTCATACTAAAGTCTTTTTTTTTACCTTCGGTCCCTCTCATGATCATATATTTGGTTTTGTCTTCATTTAGTTGGAATCCGAATTTCTGTGCTTGTTAATTGATAGTTGTTAGTTGCTTGTTAGTTAGTTAGCTTGTTAGTTGATATATTTTTCTTTGTAGTTGTTCGCCACCAAACTTATCATTTCTATGCATATGTCATTTTTACCAGGACTTCTGTTATTTTTCATTTCTTGTATTGTTGTTACAACCTCCTCCTCTGTAGGCTGCCTATCAACTATCGTATCTTCTCCAACCGTCCAGTTGTCTACTGCTTCGTGGTCCACCTCACCATTTAATAATTCTTCAAAATGTTTTTTCCATTCCGTCATTATTTCTGCCGGATCGCTAATTAAATTTCCATCTTTACCTTTCATATAACTACAGTGGCTTTGGTAACCTTTTCCCATTTTTTTACCTTCGTGATAGAACGACGCCACCTCTTTGTTTTTAAACTTCTCTTCTATCTCTTTTAATTTCAACTCATTGTGGTATCTCTTTTTCCTTCTACACAGAGCTTCCAATCATCCTCGAATTATTCTATATTCTTGTTTTTTACACTCTCTATTATCTGTTAATATTTGTTGTCTGATCTTCTTCTTTTCCTTTACTATCGCCTGACACTCTTCGTCAAACCATTCTTTGTTTGTACTTCTCTTGGAGTCGCACTTAACTATTTTTTCGCTAGCTTCTCCTACGGCAGATTTAATTTGTTCCCAGGATTGACCTGTCTGTAAATTTTGGTCACATTCTTCTAGAATTTTATTTATTTCTTCTTCATATTTATTTTTTATTTTTACTTCCTTAAGTTTTTCAATGTTGTACTTTTCTCTTCGTTTTATGGTTCGATTTTTCTTTTTCTTCCAGCCGTCTCCCACATGTTACTTCAACGAGGTAATGGTCCGAGTCGACTTCAGCTTCTCTCATACTTCTTACCTTCTGAATGCTATTCATATATTAACTTTCAATCATAACATGATCTATTTGATTTACCGTCCTTCCATCTGGGGAGACGCACGTACATTTGTATATCTCTTTTCGTTTCAGTTGTGTGATCCTCACCACCATGTTTTTCTCCATGGCAAATCCAATAAGTCTTTGAGCATTATCGTTTGTTACTTCGTATTTTTCGATTCTCTGGCATTCGTATAATGTGACCAAGCCATCTAGCTCTTTGGGCTCGTATGTTTGCCGTAATTGCTGATTTTTTATACATCTGTCCATACTCCCCTTTATTCCTCCGAAGATTTTTCTGACCACCTTTCTTTCCCAGATCTCTACCTTCTTTTCTTCCTGCTGGTTCATTATCGACATTTCACTGGCATACATTACTGTGAGTCTGATTGATTACTGTCTCGTAGACTCGCAGTTTAGCTGTTCTTGACACATTTTTTGCATTCAGTAATGTATTTAGTGACCCTATCGATCTGCATCCTTTCATTAATCTTTTGCCTATCTATTTTTTTCTTTCCCGTGCTTTTTATGGTTACTCCTAAGTATTTAAATTCTGACACTTTTTCAAAACTACAGTCTCTGCTCCTTTCATTTTGATATATTTGTTATGTCTTCTCGCATTTCCATATACTGCGTTTTTGTTTGTTTATTGTTAATCTTGTTGGTTCTTCTTCTTCTTGGTATTTAATTGTATCTTTTTGGTTCTTCCTCTTATCTCTGGAAAACTTTTTCTAAATGTTTTTTGTTCTCGCCAGTATCACTATATCATCCGTCTACGCTATACACTGTTCCCTGCTTCCTTCCATACTTACTCTATTTATCGTGTTCCTAAGCGTCTTTCTTATTAGCCTTATAAGCTTTTCTGGTATTTCTAATGTTCTCATGGCCTCATATATTATCGTTCGATTTAAAGAGTCATATGCTTATTTAAAATCGATAAACAGTATACGTAATCCTAAGTTTTGTTCGTTGCTATTATTTTGTCTTAATTTTAACATACTTATTTGATCAATAGTTGTTCTTCCTGATCTAAAACCTCCATGGCATTCTCCAATCACTTTGTTATCATGTTTTATTAATCTTTTGCTAATAATTTTTGCAAGTATTTTATAGACTACTTCTGATATTGCTATACCTCTATAGTTTTCGCACACCGTTTTGGCTTCTTTTTTATAGATAGAACAAATAAGAGCACTATTCCATTGTTTTGGCATTTCTTTCTTTTGCCAAATTATTAGTGTCAAGTGAAATATCCTTTCCCTTAATATTTTGCCACCTTGCTTAAAAATCTCAGCTGGGATACCACTTTCTCCTGCACTTTTGTTATTTTTTAAGTCTCTTATTACTTCTTTGACTTCATTCAGAGTTGGTTCCTCGCACGTCCCTTCTTCATCTTCTTGCCAATTCTCATTTTTCTCAAATTCCTCTTGTTGGTCTGTATTTAATAGATCTTCGAAATATTCCGCTCATCTCTTAAATGTTTCTGTTGTTTTACCTAGAAGTAAGCCTTCTTTGCTTCTGCAATAATGTGGATTATTCTTTGTAGTTTCTCTGGAGTTTCTAACTTCTTCTTAGACATTATTTACCTCTTTGTTTATGTAGACTTCTTCTATGGTTTTCAATTGCTTTTCTAGCTCTTTTCTTTTCTCTTTTCTGTTTTCTGCAAATTATTTTCACTTCCCTTTTTCTTGCCACATAGTTTTCGATCGCATTTTTAGTATTATCTTTACTTCTTTGTAGTTTTTCCCTGTTTTTATTATTTTTACATTCTTCATCGAACCAGTCTTGCCGCCTTTTTATAGCTCTCTTCCTATACAACTTTTCCGCTGCTTCGGATATGGCTGTCTGTATTGTGTGCCATTCTTCATTTATATATCCTGTTTGACTGGATTTTCTAGATTTTTATTTATTTCTTCATATAGTCTGTTTACAACCTGCTTTTTTTAAAGGTGGTCTAATTGGTAATTTAATCTATCTTTAACAGGTTTTATCACTGTTGGTATCTACCCCTCTGTAACTCTTGCAATCTATCATGTTTTGTTTCAATTAGGATATGATCTAGGTATCTAATTTTTTATTTTTCTATTGGGAGAAGTCCACGTTACCTTATGAACGTCTTTGTGATCAAACCTTGTGTTAGATATCTTCATTTTGTTTTCTGTAGCAAATTCAGTTAACTTTTTTCCGTTTTTATTTGATTCCTCATGTAAGCTTCGTCCCCCTTTTAGTCTTCTTATATTTCCTCTTTTCCGACTTTTGCATTTATGTCACCAATGATTATCTTTATATCGTATTTCTGTATATTTGACATTAGGGTGCTTAGCTTAAATTTTGTGTTATATAAAACATAAGTAGAATACAATATGTCAGTTCTATAAGTGCGCTACTGATTTATCAGGAACTGGATATCAGGTTTTTGACAATTTTTTCACACCTGCTTATTAATCACATATTATTATATCACATTTAAAATCAACTGTTATCAAATAATATTTCATATAAATATTGTTGGTTTATCCGAAATTCTATATTCAACATGAAATCTTCACTTATTTTGGTAGCTCTTTTGAGCTTGACAGCAGCTAAATCTGTTGATCAAAATGCGTTGTTAAAAAATGGTTTTGGGGATGTAAGGTAAGAATAATTTTTTTGTTAACAAAATTGTAATTTTAATAAATTGAATATTTTTATCATATTCCAATTAATTACTACCAACCTAAGCGAACCGAATCCTATTTATATTATATTTTTCAACTTTCTTCTTCTTTTTAGGTATCATGTAGTTTTGATTTCAATAAAAGGCGATATTATGTCGTTTGGGCAGCATGCTACTTTATTAGCTTTTGTATCGTGTGGTATTACGTAATTTTCCATGTTCATTTAATTGAATATCTCTCTTCCCAGTTAGTTAAATTGATTGTTTTTTCCTTTGTTTTTTTTTTTCACCAATAATTTTCTCTATATTGGATCGTAGAGAAGTATTTTAATAGTAAAGCAAAAGTAAAAATCCGAAAATTTCTACTTGTTCGAAACCAAAATTCAGACTTTCACCCAAATCTGTGCCTTCTACGATTAACAAAGCAAATAGACGATGAATAAACCTATACGGAGAATCTAAAATTACATTTCATATCAAATCGATTCATCTAAGTAAGAACCTCTCATGAATTGGCTTCTTATACTCAAAATACGAGTAAATAAAGATGCAGAAAAGACTGTTAAGATTTGATTTTACATATAGTGCCTTTACAATTCATTTATACGTATTTCGTCCTTTCAGGATTCATCAGAGCGACTCAGTAGAAAGCTCTTTCTTCTTCTTTGCGTGCCATATGAGAACTATCCGACGTTGGTGATCACCATTGCGAAGGCTTCTCGATCTTCTGAAATATGGAATAATTATTCTGTATTTGATATCTGAGTCCATTCACGAATGTTTTTTTACCAAGAAACTTCTTTCTACACCTCTATAGACCTCTATTTTGTCTTTAAGGATCAGTTGTAATATTTTATATCAACTTACCCTTACTATATGTCCTAGGTAAAACATTTTTCGATGTTTAACAGTCTTTACCAGTTCTCTATCTTTGTCAACTCTCCTTAGTACTTCTTCATTAGTTTTCCTTGCTGTCCAAGACATCTTCGGCATTCGTCTATGAACCCACATTTCCAATGCTTCAATATTGCTCATGATCGATACTTTTAGCGTCCACACTTCTGCACTATACAAAAATACGGACCAAACATAGCACTTAACCATTATTTGTCTTCTAAGAGAGATGTCTGTTCTAAACTGAGATGATTATTGCAAAGAAATGACTTCATTTTCATAAAAGTAGTTTTAGTCATTGCTATTCTACGTCTTATTTCTATGTCTGGATCTAGTTGGTCAATTATCACATATCCCAAATATGTCATTTTGTAAACTTTCTTAACTTGGCTCCGTTTGGCTGAAGCTTTGCATCGTGATGTGAGTTCTTTGAGTTTATTTTAATGCCTATTTCCTCTCCTCAAGGAAAAGTTGAAGACCTTCAATAATATCTGACAGAATTACTGTATCGTCTGCATATCTAATCACATTAAATAGTTCTCTATATTGTTTTGGAGTTTGTAGTTTCCTATCTCTATAGGATTTGTACTCTATATGGTTGTCTCTCAAGTGCCTTTTTAAATAGCTGGTCCGAGTAAACATTGAACAATGTTGGCGACAAAATGCAAACTTTTCTGACTCCTCATTGTATGAAGATTTTATCGGTGTAGTTATCTCCAATTTTTACGATGGCAGTTTGATTCTAGTACAAATTTTTATTGACACGAATATCCTTGTCATCTATTCCGATATTTTTCAGTATTTGTATTAATTTTACATGCTGTACTTTATCGAATGCCTCTTCAGAGTCCACGTAACATGCAAATACATCTTTTCTTTGGTCACGGCATTTTTGTAAGAGGATGTTAAGCGCAACAAGTGCGTCCCATAGCATGGTTCCCATAGCAATTCTAAAACCAAATTGGTATTATCGAGATCCTCGCATTTGCGTCTAATTCTGTTGTGAAGTATTCTGGGAAAATTTGAAGAGTGTGGCTCATTAGGCTATTTAATCGATATTCTGAGCATTTTCTCGCATTGTGTTTTTTAGGTATTGCGATAAAGATGGATTTGAGCTTATCTGTGGGAATAACTCCGGTATTATATATTGAATTAAAAAGTCTTAAAAATTCTTAAAAAGTCTTCTTATACGAAATAAGTCTAAGTGAATTCTAGAGGAACTATATGCGAAATCAAATCTTATTTGTATATTCTATAGTATTTATATACTTTATATGGAAAACCTGTATTTGTAATATATGTTCATTCTGTTCTATTCATCTGAGGTGGTTAGTATTTTCGGCAAATCCAACTCTAAAATGCCTCTAGTCATCTCACATAATTTACTCTCAAGTTGTATGTTTCTATTTTATAGAAAAATTGGAAATAGAAAATTTTTATAACCAATAATTATCGAATATCCTGTGACTAATAAAGTATACGAGGATTTGTTCATTCGTTAAAAGGCTGTTCTGGTATCTTCATCATCATTAATGTAGTACTTATATTATGTAGATCATATTATTTTAAATTCAAATGATCTTTTATATATTTTTAAAGAAGATAAATTAATACTTAAAAAATTGTTTTTGCAAAAATGTTTTTTTATTTGTTACTTTTTATTTTTTTTGCAGAAATTCCCTAGAGAGTGATGAACTGACTGCACGAATAAATGAATTTGTTGACCGGATTTGCGACAATTTTCCTGCTTTTGCAGAAAAACAAAAACTGGAACCAATAGTACTGCAGGATATAAAACAACATGTAAGTAACACCTAAATAAGTACCTACATAATATATATATATATATATATATATATATATATATATATATATATATATATATATATATATATATATCGATACTGCATGTATATGCTCTAAACTCACATTCCAACAATACTCTCAGAAGAAACGATTGGTAAACTTAACATGCCAGAGACTGAATAATATATAGTTAACTCAATGCAAACTCATAATTATATTAGAATACACTACTAAGCATTAAACAATACCATCAGCAATAGTGATGTTCTAACTTACTCACACAGGTCTACATTTTTTTTCCCTGAAAAAGTGTTTTAAGTAATGGGTGTCCTATAGTAAATGGAATGTGCTGATTACGAATCTGTACTTAGTTTTTTCCTTTAAATTAATTACTATTTAACTGGGAATAAGCCACAATTAAAGATAAAAATACGTTTATTGACGTTTCAATTTCCACTTCGGAAATCGTTCTCAAAATACAAATAGTAAATTAAACAAATTTTGTATTTTGTTACATAGTGAAAAATTCTTCTAATAATTTAATTTCATCTAACTCATTTATATTGACAATTCATACATACATTATGCATTTTAAAGTAGACGACTTTAAAATGATATTGCCAATATTGTTGTGTGGCGCTCCTGGGACGACTTTACTTATAAGATAGTTCATTCGATTACATGAAATCATGACATGATGACAGTAAAATTCTCCTGTCAGTGATTCCATAGTAAATTATGAGGGAAAAACCAGGAAAAAAACCTCATAATACTATCCCGACATGGTAAGTATGTGTTCGTGCATTTAGTTTACCTTCAATAAACACCAAAATTCCGATTTTATATGTTTCTTTATTTAAAAAACATAAATTATGTATCCTCTATATGTTACTTACTTACTAATACTGGTATTTTCTTATTAATAACTTCCTCTTTCAATATTGGTAACCAGATCCCACTACATTCTGCCGAAGAATCTGCGACACAATTGGCCTCATTTAGCATAATTAGAGCCGCTTCTTTGATTTTTCTTTTTTTACCATGCGTTTCTTTTAGGACTACATTTGAATTATTCCATTGAACCCTATGTTCATTATCCCATGCGTGTTTACATATTTGAGATCTATCAAATTCTCTATTTTTAATGGCCTTGATGTTTCACCTAAATAAAACTGATCGCATTCACAAGGTATTTTATAAATGCAATTCTTTGTCCTTTCTTGTTCATTGTTAGGTTTGGTTTTGGACAAAATAGATCTCAACGTGTTTGTTTGCATTTAAATGCATCTGAACTGTTTGTCAAGAAAATCTATTAGAATCATATTCTGCTTTTGAATCCTGAGAAACATGCCCAACATTTATGATTTAACTGTTGGCTTTTATTTAATAGACCAACATATCTGAGCATCCTACTATTCACGTTATCAAGTAAATATTTAAGCACGTTTTTTTACTTTTTTTGAACAATGAAACTGAACTCTTCATGGAGGAGGGATTGAGGACAATGTGGCACATTTCTAGGAAACTTCTCTTGAAATGGTTGCTTTCTGTACAAAGAATTTTGACCTGTTCATAATCTGGTCGGTGGTCAGAAGTAAAAATGTGTTGTGCTAAGGCACTGGAATGTTTCTGGCATCTAATATCACTCATGTAAGAAGTTAGTCGACCTTTAAGGGATCTACGAGTCTGGCCAATGTAACATAGGTTGCAATCCATAAAGGGGATGTTGTAAACCACATTGATATTTTCCACCTGATCATTTTAACCCAACGGGTTTAAAGGAGTTTTGGTTTTAGAAAATAGTTTACGAATTGATCTAACATTTTCAACTCTAATTTTCACTGGTGCCAATGTTAGAAGTTTTGCGATCTTCTGTCAAATGAGGGAAATAAGGGAGAGAGTAGTAACGTATAGGGGAAGAAGGAACGTTATGGGAGTCGTTTTCTGGTGTGCCTATTGAAATATCAGGATGACCCTGTACTTGACTATTGTCTTTCAAACTATGTCTAGACAGTGTGTAGCTGGTAGAAAAAAGAAATTTATTAATTACATATAATGGATAAGAATTCTGTAAACAAAATGGACTTTAGAAGGTTAAGAGAATCCCTTCGGTGAGAAGGATGTGTCAACCTACGAACCCTAAAACTAAGATATATATATATATATATATATATATATATATATATATATATATATATATATAGATATATATATATATATATATATATAGATATATATATATATATATATATATACCCACCACTCGTCTGAGTGATCCTTATATATATATATATATATATATATATATATATATATATATATATATATATATAGATATATATATATATATATATATATATATATATATATATATATATATATATATATATATATATATATATATATATATATATATATATATATATATATATATATATATATAGTTTAGATAATAATATAAGCACCTAAATAATTATATTAATAATTTTTTTTAGTTTCTTACTGCCTCAATTGAGTTGACTCATGGAAAAATTTCTGGTTTATCACATGTTTACAGAGATGGTAATGTTACAGTAACCTACGATCATGATGCCAATATTGTTACGTTAAACCTTCCAATATTTTTCAAAAAGATAAGTGTAAGTATTTGATCTAATTATTATCTACATAATCAAAATTTTCATTGTTGGATGTCGATAAACTATGTCTCCCCTAAATTTATAAGAACAGCATTTTTATGTATTATAATTCATAAAACGATGCTCTTGATAAAATTAAGTACAGACATTTATTTCTGAAGCTAGCACTTTAAAGTTAATTATCACTAAGAATCAGATTTATTATCATTTGAAATTATACAAACAATTAAAATATAGTCAAATAAATATAATGGAATCGATAAAGCCAAACAAGGCCAAACACTTGTCGATTCTAAGGAATTTATTTATATATTTATATTTCCATAATACAAAAGCCGAATAAAACTCCAAGACTAAAGGTGTGATACATTCACATAATGTGGTTACTAAAACAAGATTGTAAAGGCACTCATTGTGAATCAAACGAACCCTCCAACGAAACATCAACCGAAAAATCAAAGGAAAAGTCAAACGAAAAATAAAACAAAATTTATTGATTTATTCATCACCATTTGTTCATTAAATTCACCTATGGATGAATAGTATGGTATGAGATTATGGTATAATATTACCCATTCTAATGATCCCTACCAGAAAGGTGTGTCAATGTTAGAACAACTGGATCTTCTTGTTAGAAAAAATGATACTTATTTTGTTTAGTAGCAACGATTTTTTGCATTTTTTTAAATGCATTTACGATAAATTTTACGTTTATTTTGATAAATTTGGATCACTCTTCATTAGTGGTTTTAAATGGTGTACGATTCCCGAAAATAATGCAAAAATTGTGGCATTACATGAAGATGATCGCAATATACGTTATATTGCAAATCATTTGGATATTACCAAAAGTACCTGTTCCAGAAATGAACATATTGTTTTAAAATATAAAATAAAAATATAATTCTTGTACTTTTCTCAGTGTAGAATAACTAGAAGTCACTTTATCAAGTTTGAAGGCGACAGATTGGCGTCGAACATCCGTTAAATATTTTTCACACCTAAGCACTATTCCCATTCTACGCATTATGTAGTTTTTATTAGTTGAGTATCAGCTGAGCCCTTGCCCAGTTCGACTTATGGCCTTGAGCAGGCACCACTCACAGCGGGCAGTAAGAATTTCACAATTCACGTATTTAAATATTTTCTCTCCGCCGAAATCGGGCATTTTCTCATGTTTATTTCTCATAACGGTTTGTTTTACGTGTTAAAAAGAAAGAGATTTGATATTGTACAGTAAGTTACGGCCGTGTTGGGCCTCCACTCTTAAAGGATTTAATTATAAATCAATAAACTTAAAGGTGCTTTTATTTCTCTGGAGCTATAATTGCTCAAATTAAGAATCCTTATCTTTCAACGGTCACTGAAGATCCAAACCTATGGAGATGCATCCACTCGCAAGTCCTTTGAAGTAAGGCTTGGAATCAAAAGATTTCCAACGCTCACGATGTAGGTAGCCAGTTACAAAGCTTCCTCATATTGTGTGGTCCTATCGAACACGGATTATTTAATAAAACAGGACTGAAGAAAGAAAAGGATTACACACGCCGAAGAACAACAAGAAGAAAAAAGAAAGATTGCACAAGTTGACCTTCGTTCAAGATTAGACACGTGTGTTTTGTGAAAAGTGCGTTATGTGTTGCTAAGTGACAGCGGTAATTAAATTGGATACTTGCAAAACATTTGGTGAGGTTAAAACTCTTTCTATATTTTCTATAATCACTGCATGCACATAATTTATATTTGGTAGATATTTGTCTCGACTTTTATTTGTTTACTTACATTTATATTCACTAATGGCTTTGATTTGACAACAGATCTTTCTTCTCAATATCGCTAAAGATAGCTGACAATTATTTATTATACAGATTGTCTCACAGCCCGCTCTCACGAAAAATATTTGTTCATAACTCTAGTAAAAATACTCTATCAAAATTAAAAACGCGTCTTAGTTAAAAAAGACATTTACTCTAAACAAAATTATTATTCACTCTTTTTCTCGCTCAGCATATATTTGCAAATAAATTCACTTTAAATAAAAAATGGAAGCTTTAAAGAAAAAGCGCAAATCACTTAAAGCATCAATTACACGTATCTCAGAATGGTTTATAGCCAATAAAGACACAGAAAACGAAATACTTGATTTTGAAAATAGGAAAGAAAAACTCTTTAATTGTTTCACACAATATGAACAAATTCAATTAGAAATCGAACAGACTGATGACAGCGACCAACAATCAGCTGATCGAGAAAATGTTGAAGAAAAATACTTCAACACACTCAAAGGTTTACAAAGAAAAATAATAGAATTAAATTCAACAGAAAATAAAGCACATCGCTCAAATAATAATGCTGTTTCCAGTGCGAGGCTGCCTGAAATTAGCATGAAAACCTTCACCGGCAATTTCTCAGAATTCAATGAATTTTTTCAACTATTTGAAACTCTAATCACAAACAATTCAAGTTTAAACAATGTTCAAAAGTTTATATATTTAAAATCTTTTCTCAAAGGAGAACCTTTAAACTTAATTAGCAGTATCGAAGTAGTAGACGCAAATTTTGCTATCGCTATAAAAACCCTAAAAGAAAGATATGATGACAAATCACGAGTGATTAGTACTCTTATAAAAAAGCTGTTAAAGTCTCAATCTCTAGTCAAATGCACTCCTCAGGTACTAAGAGATTTTCTTGTACACACGAAGCAAACGCTTCAAGCTCTTAGTAATCTCGAAGTTCCCATTGAACATTGGGACCTCCTTTTAATAGAAATATTTTTAGAAAAAATAGATTTCGCTTCTCACAAGGCTTTTGAATATGAAGTAGGTTCTAGGAATGTTCCAACACTCAAACAATTTTTTGAATTTCTAGAAAAAAGATGTGATGTTTTAGAGAAACTCAATTACACTGAAACTCAGTCAAAATTTAATAATAAAGTCACTCAAAAAACTGCTCATATTTCCACTATAAATAATAATAAATCTAGCTATGAAAATTGCATATTTTGTAAACAAACTGGTCATAAAATATATCAGTGTAGCTTATTTAAAGACACAAATTCTCGAGAAAGGTTTAATTTTGTAAAGCAAGCACAGCTTTGCAGAAATTGTTTTGGCACTAAGCATTTTACTGATAAATGCATCTCTAAATACACATGTAAAATTTGCAATAAAAAGCACAATACACTTTTGCATGAAGAAAATCATTTTTCTCACACTCATGAAAATAATTTATTCTCTCCCACTCGAAGCAATCAAAGTGCTTCAAACTCACATGATAGTAATCAAAGTCATACCAATAGGCAACAATCACGCTTTAATGCACCACAAACCTCTCAATCGTCCACAAGTATACAGGGTGATTCACAAACTCGCCATAGTGCACCACATATCTCACAAAGTCATTTTCATGCTCCTCAAAGGAGTAATAATGCCCAAGTTACTCAAAGAATTAATTCTCCACATTCATATAATGAATCACCAAACACTTCTACTCACTTAAGTACTCAGACAAATGAAAATTGTCTACTCTCAGACACACAAATTCAAAATTCATCTTGCATCTCTTCTCCCTCAACTTTCAATCCAAAAAACGAAGTTTTGCTAGCCACAGCGCTGGTAACAATTTACTCTGAAAGTGGACAACCTGTACACGCAAGATGTCTTCTCGATAATGGGTCTCAATCGAGCTTTGTAACAAAAAATTTAGTAAATAAACTAAATTACTCTACTTACAATAAAAGATTACAAACTTCCACAATCTCTCAAAATTGTTCCATCTCAAATGAAATGGTAAACATTGAATTTTTCCCATATAAAAACAATGATATGAAATTTGAAGTATCATGTGCAGTTTTGGACAACATTACGTGTAAAATACCTCAGGTACCTCTAGATCGTAGCAAAATAAAAATACCAGCTGGCATAAAGCTCAGTGATCCCTCTTACTCCTCCCCAGGTAGAATCGATCTCTTATTAGGTGCAGAAATTTACTGTGATCTATTAAAGGATGGTTTAATTCATATTGGAGCAGGTCTTCCAGTGCTTCAAAACACTCATTTAGGATATGTCATGTTCGGTAACCTATCCCCACAAGTTTCATCTAAGAAAAAGATGCACTCTCACTCAAACTGTAACGATTCACACTCGAATCATATTTCTTTATTTGTTCAATCTCACATCGAAGAAGAAAATATAAATAATCTTCTCCAAAGGTTTTGGGACATTGAAGAAGTTCCCGAAATTAAGCGTTTAAGTCCTGATGATGAAAAGGTTGAGAAAATATTTAAAGCCACAACACAAATCCTACCGAATGGACAGTTTCAAGTAGATTTACCCCTATGCACGCCTAATGAAAATAATAAATTGGGCGACTCTTTCCAAATGGCGCGAAGGCGATTTCTAAATTTGGAGAACAAATTCTCAAAAAATAATTCTCTTTATAAACAATATAAAGCTTTTATAGATGAGTATGTTGAATTAGGACATGCAAAATATGTTCCTTTGTCTCTGCAGAATATACACTCAGAAAACAAATATTTCTTGCCTCACCACAGTGTAGAAAAAGACACTTCTCTCACAACTCGTTTGCGCGTAGTTTTTGACGCGTCGATGAAAACCACTTCTGGTTTTAGCCTTAATGATATCATGTTAAAGGGTTATACCACACAACCAGAACTATTTGACACTTTAGTCAATTTTAGACTCTTCAAGTATGTATTCACATCTGATATAAAAAAGATGTTTAGACAAATTCGAATAAACCCCAGCCAAACTTTCTTATTAAATATTTTGTGGCGCAACTCTCCCTCGGAGCCGTTAAAATGTATACAATTGGAAACGGTTACCTATGGAACGAAACCAGCTACCTTCCTTAGTACACGATGTTTGATTGAACTCGCAAACATGCATAAGGAAGAATATCCTCTAGCTCATGATATGCTCATTAATTTGTGCTATATTGATGACATATTGTATGGTGCAAATAGTATTGAAACACTCACA